AGACGGCAAGGCTGGTTCTATCAGCCCCTCAGTTAAACGGAAACATTGAAATATTCTTTCTTTTTTTTGCTGTTTGTTGAAAAACTCACCTGGTGAAAGTTCCTCGGTGACTGCCTGTATTTGTGAAATTAGCATGAGGCAACTGCCGAGCAGAAGCCATTGTACCCTGCTCATTGTGGCAACACTTTTGTTTCGAGTTGGTCGGGTTCTGTCTTCAAATTGGATCTGAAATGGTTGGGTAAAAACATAATAATCAATTAATAATGAGCTTTGAAATAGGAATCGCTTTGATGAGAAAAAGTGCAGTTGACTGCTAAAAAAGTTATGATAATGCCAACCTTTTTAAAAGTATTGAATGTTAAACAGGAAGTTTCGATTACAGTGATTTTTAACTTTAATTTTATACAACTTTGTTTAAAGGGTCGATATCTCAATGTCATGTTAACTTTTGTCATAATAACCTTATGTTTCTATTTTCTATTGTTTCTATTTCTATTTTGAAAAATGTAGATTCTCAATATCAGGATAGATTCTATATAATTGAGAACTCTTAACAAGAGACAATGTTCTTGTTAAATATTTGAGAAGACCAAACGAAACTGACTGAATATGTTTATACGAAAAATAATAGACCAGATCTTTAACAGGAGATTGAGAAATCGGTCGCTAAATACTGCAATTTAATGATATTGGTTAGCTATTTATAGAACTGTTATTAAATTGGATAAAAAACTCAAAATGAACTACCTGAACATTTTTCACTGAACAACCCTTTATTCTCTAGTATAAAAATGTCTTTGTTAACTGCAAGAGCATAATGCTTAGTTCTCGCATTTCTGCTCTGTGTAATTACTCATATAGCAGGTATATAGATACATCTGCGCAATTTGCCATTAAGATTTCCACCATCGACAGGCGGCAGTTCCGACGCACATTATTCACTGGCGCTCGCGCCGCAAAGTATGCAACGTCATGCGGTGTGGCAGTGAGATGACGATGGAAAAGTGGGGGGTCTGGAGCTCTGGAGGTCGGAAAACGGGTGGAAAACTGCGGAAAGGCGCCGCCAAAGGCGAAGGTCTCGATTGGGGGGCGTGCCCCGGGTCCTGTGCCCTCTGCCACACGTCAAACACATTCATCACGAGTGCCAGAGTGACAGATGGCAAATGCGCCTACGGTCTCGTTTGTCCGCCGCTTCTGGCCAGGAATCCTTGATCCTTGGTCCAGTTTGGCCATGACAACGGACGGACAAGGGCAAAAAGGACAAATGGAAATTTTTTCCAATTATTGCCGCCGGCAACAGCCGCCTCGGCGCCAAACAAAAAGGAGCATTTAACGCTTTAAAGTGCCACAATGGCCATATTTCATTCATGGCTACGCTCGGGCTCCGAGATTCCCTGGAATCATCAATAACTAATTGCAAAATTTTGACTGACGTCGCCAGTTGATCAAAAACTCATTCTGTCAGCCGCATGTGGACACGAATCCAATAAAGAACGCCAACGCCACGGCAAAAATATATATATTCTAAGTAGTGCAATATGTAATGTGGTCACATCTGGGTCTGACATGATTTTGGCATTAAAACGAAAGTCATTTCTCGGGCGGCTTCTGCAAAGGACCTTTCAGCTTTTCGCTCATTTTGAGTTTGTACAATATTTGGTTGGTGAAATTCACTTTTATTTTAGACTGACAGCAGCTGCTGAATAATTACGCATACACAAAGGCTCGTGGAGAGGCTAGGGTTAGGTGTACAGTGCGGGTCATAAGTTTGGCGGGACTGCTATAAAAAGACAAACAAAAGTCTAAGGCTTACATATTTTATAGAACCTAGATTTGAACATGAATATTACTAACAATTAAGTTACATTTGGAGTGGTGGCGATTTAAAATGTGGACTAAAAAATTATACACTTAAGGATCTGTACCGAGATCACATGGTATCATAAGGGGCCCAGTGTGGGCTATGTGAGGGGTTAAGTTTCTAATCCAACCATACCTATCTACCTACCTACCTAAATAATAACATACTCATTATTATATGTTATTTATATTTACACTTCAAATAAAATGAATAAAACAATTTCTTCAAAAATGTTGTATAAGTTCGAATTTTATAAAACTTTAATTGTAGGCCTTTACGAGGCTTACAAAGTGTTTACTTAATACATACATCATGTTAAAAAAGTTTACCTAACTAAAACGGTATTTCGAAATATTATTTATTTTTAAATTAACCTCAACCTAGTGTGATTAATATTATCCATATGGATCCGAAAAGAAAGTTATATTTATCCATTTTACGGTGGAATACATAATTCTCCTTATGATTGATTAAATCCAGAGGACTTTCAGCAGCGAAACGGACTGTAAATAGGCACCATATGCTGGCATATGACCCAAGACGCGGCTCAGTGGCTCCCATCAACACTTTCAATTTCAAAAGGAAACTTTTGGGCCACCGACCACACACCCACATACACATGCACAGGGGCGCCGAACAAAAGGGGGGGCCGAGTATGAGGTTCTTTTTGGGGTGGTGGGGGTGGTGGTTTTGGCACTGGCGGATTGGCAAGGTTTTACGAGGTCCTGTTAACCGCGGGTATTTACACTAAGTCTAATGAAATGTTTAACAAGCACTTTGCTCTGCGCAAATCCCAATGACCCATAATATTAGCATAAAATCACTTGGCACACTGGAAAAGGGGGGACGAACCTAACCCAACCTACACCGTGCCTAGTCCCCCTAACCCCTAGCCCCTTCATAAATAAGTAGTTTTGGGTGTGTTCGGGTGTACGTAACTACTTGCTAGTCAGCCTGCGTGGCTTGACACGCTCTACGGGAAAATGCGGGCCTCAGCTCGGGAAATTTTCATTTAAATTGCACACTTTAAAAGTTTGCCCAGCAGAAGGGATAAGAGCGGGGAAAGCCCCGAAGAAGGGCTTAACAAAGCACCGACATGGCCTATGGCAGCCTGTATATACATATATATTTTGCCATTACGCTGCATATAAATTTTTATGTTAGTCCATACTTTATTTGTTTCTGGCCTCCGTTTGGTTTTCTGCCTTCTGCACACATTTTCCCCATTCCCCCTTTTGGTACTACCAAAAATAAATTACATTAAAATTCTAAGCCATCAGCCGGCGAGCTTTGGAAATTTATTTTTCCACATTATTCGCCGTTTGCCGCAAAACTCTATTTTCTTCGTGGGGTTAAGAGTTGGGATCCGGGCTAAGCCCCAGAGAAGTTGTAAAGTATCATTCGAGTCAATTAGTTCATTCGCAGAATTTCATTTCGGTCCGAGGGAATTTTGATGAGTTTCATTAAGTTTTGAAATAAATTTGAGCCGAAAAGTGGGTGAATGTTACCATGACCACTGGGCGGCTGGCTCTTATTTTGGGCTTACTTTGTTTATGTGATTACTCTTTTGGGGATTTGATTTATGGGTTTCGAGCTTGATTAAAGGGTTTCTAACGCGACTAAAGCTTGGATTTTATGGCCTAACAGGTAAATCTCCAAGATGAGATCAATTTTAATATTTATTTTAATTATTTATATTGCTTAATTAACTGAAAAAAAATGTACATAATATCCTTTGTAAGTAATATATTTAAAGAACTTTTTAGAAATTCTATTTATTTCTGATCGTAAAAATAATAAAAGATAATAAATTTTAAAATATCTAAAATTCAAACAAGAATGATATTCAATTTTAATTGTATCAGCCGTTTAAACCTTTTTATTTGTTTTGATTCTTACTGCTTATAAAATTCGGGATTTTGTGTATTTATTTTCTTTTCTTCGGTAAATTCAGGACAGCCCACATGAAATCCTTGGCCCAGCTTGCACAGGTATGTCCTTTTCCCCCATACTTGTGTACATACATGTGTTTGTGTACATATACATACACTCCCAAACAATCACATACAGGCAGGATTCTTAATATATTTTCAGGAATATAATAACAAAGTAGAAACTTGACTCACATAACCAACTTACTTTATTAAAAAACTGTGTCAATCCTCATGAAAATCCTTGTTAAACCATGTATTCTATTGTTTAGTTCTTGGTTAGGACGAATAGAAAAAATGTAAACACACTTTTGTATGGTACACACAAACACGCGAAAAGGAACACGAGCACGAATAAGTTGATTGCGGGTTTATTTGGGCTTATCAAAGGATTCCAACGTAATCACAACCATGTCTCACTATTTAGATGGTTAAATGTTAAGTTTCACTTGGGTTTTGAATATTTTTAAAGGCAAAAACACAGAAAAATTGGCATTAAAATTTACAGACGCTCGAAATTTGCTGACAAACGGAGCAGACAAACTCTCGCTCTCTCTCTCTCACTGTTTCTCTTCCATTTCGTTTCCTCCTGCGGGAGAGAGGCAGCTGTTCGAGTCCTTTGGCGAAAGGACCTTTCAGGGGTGAGAGTGTTTTGGCAACTGTCAAAATGACAGCGAGGCCTTTGCAGAGCGCAGGCGCTTGTTTCGCTTTGTTTCCAAAACGTTTCAAGAAACATATCCTGGGGTTTTAAAAGGGATGGTTGGTCCTGCCTCTCTCTCACCTGATTTCTCTAGAGAAACGGAGAGAGAGAGCCGACAATTACCTGGAGAATTGGCATTAGCCCATTTTCGTTGCGTTATAAATTGCGTTTGTCACTTTGGAGCATTCTCAGACTTTGGGATCCCAACATACACGCATATCTAAGGGTGTGATTTTACATTTACCCCCAGAATCACCCACCTGATTTTACCATCAAAAACCCCCCTCCATGCAATTACATTTAACTTTCCTTGAGCAGCCTGCTGGCTCGGAATTAATTTTCGATTTTATTGTCAGTTAGTCAAACCCACTTGCTTAGCTGTCGCTGCGACTGACTCTGATTTAATTGAAACTGCATGAATATGCAATTTCGGGCTATAAATTGAAATCTCGATTTCTCTTTCCCCCCCTTTTTTTTATAGCCTTTTGGAATTTTCACTTTTAATGGCTCTCAGTTGGCTCCTTGGCAGTTTTCATCACACACACAACCCACATTTGTATAAGTTATAGAACAGACTGGAGGCCAATGTGAACACCTGTACATACGTATATCAAAAAATTCAACCCAGAAAGCTGAGGAAATCGAAGGATGTGGGAGAAACTGGTGAACTGCATCAAGGGTAATGGTGGGGCCCAGAAGACAAGCTGCCAGGTTGTCCAACTGGCCGATCTGATGAAGCAGGTTCCTCCGAACCAGCTGAAGATGTTCCAAATGTTTGCCAAGAAGCACGAGGAGTACAAGGAGTAAGTTGGGGGTTACGCAAACGGGAGGGGTTACGAGGGTCACCGGATGGGGAGTACCATGGCACGTCAATTAAATATGCGTTGGGGTTCATGCGTTGGGGTTTTTAAGACAAAGAGAAAATATAACCGCGAATTCTTCAGGAAATTCTCTAAAATAAAGGGGAAACTAGAAACATCTTGGAATGTTTCGAAACTAATAAACAATGATTCGTATGATTCTTACTCCTAAGTAATGCCCCATCTTTGGTCAAATCATTCTTTGTATCCATGTAAGGCTTTAATCAGTAATTGATGATCCTATAGGATAACATATAAACTATCATATAACATATCTTCCCCAGTCGTGTTCGCAAGTACCCAGAATCGATGCCGCCAATCGACTGGGAGTACTACCGCCAGAATGTTCGCGAAGAGTTTGTGGAATGGGTGAAGGGTTACGAGACCAAGTATGATAAACTTCACTCCGTCTTCGAGAATCGACATGCTATGGTGGATCACAAGCGCTACTTCGAAAAAGTGGATGAAGAAGCGGAAGCAGTGAAGAAGGCTATAGCAGCATATAAGGCTGAATCGAATGAAAGAATCAAAAAGCTTACGGAAAATCTAGAGTGCTTAAAGGCCATGCAGCCGTACGAGCAAATGACCATGGAAGAATTTTGCTTTGCCCGTCCTCATTTGGCACCTGATTTTATTAACAAGCCTACTTTCTGGCCCCATACTCCCGAGGAGCAATTGCCAGGTCCTTCGGATCCAGAGGCAGCAGCAGCCTTGCACCACGACCAGGAACCGGAGCCGCCAAAGAAACCATCCCCGGAGAAACCACCAGAAAAGGCTTCCGAAGATCCTAAGACTGCAGCAGCTGTGGCTCCGAAGAAACCCTCGGAACCAGTTGTAGACACCACTCAATTGGCTGAAAAGGCCAGTGGAATGGCCAAAGAATTGGTGGCCAAAGCGATTGTACTGTTCAACAGTCTCAAGGAGAAACTCTCGGGCATGGCGAAGAATGTTCAGAAGAAAGCCGAAGCCGCTAAGGCAGCCCGTGCCGAAGCTTCTGGCAAGTCGGTAACTCCCACATCCACATCCACATCCCCATCCACACCTACAAAGTCACTTGATAGTATTAAAGAACGCGAATCCGGTCCAAATATATGTAACCAGACCATAATTCGCAGCGAAGAGGATGAAGCCAATCCTGAGGTTAAGGCCAGACATGCTAATTTATCCATTGAGGCAGAGCCCTGCGATGCCCAAGAAGAAAGAACCAGGGAGATAGCCAGGGCTCTAGAAAGAAAGCGTCAATTAAGGGAGGCAGAAGAATACGACGAATACCAAAAGAGCAGGCAAGTCTGTGAACCCAAAGACGAAGAGTCAATCTGCGAGCCTGATCCTTGTAAAACTAAAGAGGAGGCCATCTGCGAACCCGATCCTTGTAAGCCAAAGGAAGAGGAACTCATCTGTGAGCCTGATCCTTGCAAGTCCAAAGAGGAAGAATCCGTCTGCAAACCAGATCCTTGCAAGCCAAAGGACGAAGAAGGTGCCTGCGAAGAAGAGGAAGATCCCTGCAAGGAAAAACCCAAAGAGGAAAAGGACTGCAAATTCGATAAGGACAACGAAGTTGGTTTAGAGAAATCCCAGGAGCAGGAGCAGGTCTTCATCAACATAGCCAAGTGCAGCGAAGATTTGGCCAAGAAGGAAGAAAATAAATCAGGTGAACCAGGTAAACCCAAGGAAAAGGCCTCGCTGACTGAGATAACTCAGGGTTCAGATCAAAAACCCATACTGGGCATGCAGATAACAGATTCGAAGGCTGCCAAAAAGGATCAGAGAGCTAGAATTGATGGCGCAGACGAAGTGGGTCCTGTCTATACAGATCCCAAACAACTTGCAGAATTGCTAGCCAATGAGAAAGAAAAGAAAGAACTTAAGGAAAAAGAGGTGCCTGCAATAATCGAAGATGCCATTAAACCCGAAGATGATAAACCAGTTACAATCTATCCCAAACTGGAGATATCTGCTAAACCCAAAACCGAAGATGTAGATGAGGCCAAGAAGTCTCCCAAGGATATGGCCAAGCAGGTGTTCAGCATGGCCTCGGGAGCTGCTTCTCTACTAACAGAAGCCACCAATACCCTAGAAGACTTGAAGAAGAAGAAGGAGGAACGTCTTGAGGCCCTGGAACAGGCCTATACTTCGGCTCAAAGGCAGGCCCAAGGAGCCTTGGCCGAGGCCTCAAAAGCCGTGGAAGCAGCCAACAAATTGGCCCAGAGATCTGCCGAAAACACCGGCGAAGTGAGCAGCCGCGACAAAGAGGCCTTGGAAATGGCCGAAAAGCATGCTATTTTGGCCAAAATGATGGCCAGTCGTGCCGTGGCCCTAAAAGACGAAATCGCCCGTGTTCTCAATGACTTGAAAAAGAAACAGTAATCCTTACTTCACAGATTTCTAAATAATTTTGTACCACATTTTGTTTGTTGTATTTTCGTATTAAATTTTCTGTTTTATTTTTTTCTTCCGTTCAAAGTTTCGCTTTCATTTGATTTCTAGCCGTTACGTTTGTTTTTATGCAAATGTTTTCAGCCAGCTTTGCTGACCAAAAGTTGAGCGTCGGGCAATAAATTTTTTCTTTTCCACCAGCTTTGGTTTGCTGCTGAAAAGTTTTCTATTTGGAATTAGCCGGCGAAATGTGTGTGAGGCGCTCGTAGATTGCATAATTATGCTAATTTTGTTGTTTTTCCACCCGCCACTTGGCAAGTCGAAAAGGGTATATGCTGTGTGGAAATGGAGAGAGGACATGACAGAATTATTAAACATGTTTTTAAATTTGTTTACGATGCACTATTCACTCAAATGAATTTTACTAACATTGCTGATTTTATATCAATATATCATGTATACAAATACAATAAATCGACAGTTTTATTTTTAAAAACCCATAAATCTAAATATGACGCAAAATAGATAAACAACTTTTTAAAATGCGGAAAGGTTTGTTTTGGTGCTTTCTATTAATAAATGTAGTTAACTTTTATCGTTGCATTCTATTAATACAGGAAAAAAACAAAAAACAGTCATTCCTGTAGTAGGCACTGTCCTGAAGAATTCGCGGTTTTCTATATTCTTATCTTGGGTTTCCAAAAATAGAGAATGAGCAAATATTCTTTGGAAAGACATCTCAAGCCCATGTGGACAAGATTATTTTAATTTTAAAAGCGATAAGTACAGTCCGTGCCATATCGATCCATCTTTTTATTTAACTCCCTATTATCACAAGACTAGATGCATTCAAGTACTGCTATTAAGTACCCACTAAAATGTTGTAATATCCCATTCCGTTTCCAATTCACCTGCTTAAAATAGGGTAAAAAGCAGTCAAGCCAGTCCACTTTATGGCTCCTCTACTTTTTGTTTGGCATTCAAAGCAGCCTTTCGTAAAGTGTTGCCTACATTTTGGCGCACCGTTTTCGCAATCAAACACATTTGCATAATTAGCTGGTCCTGTGGGTGCGTGTGTGTTAATGTTGGTGCGTGTTTAATTCCAGTTTGATAGTTTGTTATAAGCTTTAAGCTGAAACATTCCTTTTGTTCGCCCAGAACAATGGGTCGGTCTGCTTTTTGGCGGACAATGTAAACATTGCGCTGAAATCCGGCTTTAATTTATGTGTATTCATCGGCGTATACGTCCATATAAATTTCTATATATATATTTGTTAACTTAAGCGGCGTTAAACAAGCCGTATAAATTCAATTTGAAAGCGCTTTGTCTGCCGCTCTTTGTAAGTTCTCATTGTATCCACCTTATCGCTTAATCGATTGCGTAGGTGACAAAAACATTTTGCAGAGTGCGAAGGGATATTCGGGGTTCTGGGGGTCTAATGTACCTTTTGGGACACCTTTTCTGGCCCCTGGCGGAATTTGCATATTTATTTGGATTTTCAAACTGATTTTAAGCCCCTGGTAAGGTTAGTCGATTAAGCTGAAAGGGATTATTCATGAGCTACAAAGTGCCGGGCAAGGCTTAAAGTCAAAGCCAAAGCCAGATTCGATGGAATTGGCCATTTGGCAGGGTCTGGACATTTTCCCCACCACTTTTCGCCCGCCAACTAAACTTTTGCTGACTAGTCTCATGTGCTCGCTGACAATTTCCCGCTGTTTCTTGTTGCGGAAATATAAAATATTGCGTTTATGTTTATTGTTTTCTGTCTCTGGCAATTCTCAATCGAAATAGATTCTTTTGGCAACCGGATTGGCTTGCGAGTTCAACTGGCAGTGACCCAAACATAATTACAAATCCTCGCGCTCCAAACGCGATTTTACCCAGTCGGCCAATAACTTTTCCTTACGGGCATTACGAGTGTTTTTATAGCTTCCTTTGTTTTTGGTTTTATTTTTTTGTTGAGGTATGTGCAGCTGATTAACGGTTGGCTTTTATGGTTAGCTCAGTTTTTAATAGCCCGGCCAGGAATGCGCACAAAAGGCCCTAATTAGCGGCATTTAACTAAGCCTCATGTTTGGCGACGTGATCCTGATTATTACAGCAACAGCAACGTCCCAGGCGCCATAAAGGACCCCACTTCACCTGAGTGCCCGCGACCCGGGGACATTGAAAATGTAAATTTTCCGCTCGCTCGCAGCGGGAAAGCCATATAGCTGGCGAGCTTGATTAGTGAATGCCACCGACTTCGCTGCTCCGACTCTCCGGCATCCCGTAGACCCGTAGACCCGTATCCCTATCCCTAGCCGTATCCGTGTCCTGGTTTCGGCGCGTGTCCCTCCACAAACACTGGCAAAGGCACCAGCTCTCTCGTACCCCCACTTAACGACGTAGTTAGCGTTAGTTAACGTATGTACGTGATATCGTTAAACTTGGTCTAACGTTACCAGACCGGCATCGCATAATAAGTGTCTTATTAGTTATGCCGGTGTACAGTTAGCAAAATGTTAGTTGCCTAAATTATACTATAGAAAGTACATAGAGAGGTTTTCTTGAAACAAAATAAAATAAACGGATTTTTTTTAAATTTTTAAACAAGTACTTATCTAATATATAAATATATATATTTAAGTATATGAGACTAGATTGACTTTTCTAGTATATATAACACTAGTTGATAGCTTCCTATGCTAAAGTCATAGCACGTTGCTCTGCCTATTCTCTGCCGCCACACGAACAGTATGCACAGTAATTAAAGAACAATTAATAGATTTCGCATGGGATATATTTATAAATAAAACCTAATCCGACTTAAAAATGTTTCTTTTCATATTATACAAAAATTTCTGATAACTCTGGATAGGAAGAAAACAATTGATAAGATATGATAATCATTTAGATGGTATTTAGTACCCATCTTTTTCCATTTCGGAGAGCTTAAAATACTGCTCTTAGCCAGAGTAATTTTAGGCGTTATGTCGATCTTTTCTCCATTTTTGTAAATAATTTTTTAAGAGAAAAATATGATAGTTAATAAATCTACCATGTGAATTTTAAATTTATCCCTTTGTGTTCCTTATTTCTATTTAAGAATAATGATGACCAACCTTTAAAAATTATTAAACGGAAATGCATTCCGTTAGTAAACCTAATTTTTTCCCCAGTGTAGCTGAGGGATCCTGGGCAGGCAACCTGAAGCCAAAGGCAAACCCAGTTTTGGGACACGCACCACTAAACTGGGGGACACTTTCCATGGCCAGGGGCAAGCCGAAACTTGGTCTCCCGACTGGCGTCTCATCAATGGCCAAATTCTGTTTGCTTGGCTCAACTGTTGCCCTGAATTTCAATTTGTTGTTTTGGCCCCCACGTGTGTGCGCACTGATATGTGTGTTCGGCACAAGAATATTCCCCATTCCCGCAATTCGCTTCAATTAGCCAATTGCTCATGGTCCTCCTTGTACGGCTGCTGCCAATTGGCAGGGCATTGATGGGTTTTAATTAATTCAAGGCAAATACTGAGGCCAGCCGAGGCAGTTGTAAAGTTTTTGGGGCGCGAGGAATTCTTACGCAAGCAGGTCCTAAAATAACAAACAACCTGCAAATCTATTTCCAAGATAAAATTAACGCTCTTTCTGCGGGGGTGGGGGGGAAAAGAAAATTAAATTCCAAACAGCCGGTGAGCCTCTTTTGGCAGGTGGGGTGTATACATAGCTATATATATTCAGCCACCCTGAAACGGTGGTGCTGTCCAGGTAATCGCCAGCGTGTAGTATTTGCTCTTGGCGCAGCTTGTTTATTTTTTAATTTCCTTCCAATTAAGCAACAAACAAGATACCGAAAACGAAAACGAAACTGAGACTCGCTCCCAGTCCGCCACAGTGACTGCGATAAAAAAGCGCACGAATCAGCAAGAAAAAAGGAAGAAAGGAAGGCACCAGAGGAATTAAATCAATTCGCAAGACCTTGCTCGAAAATTCATTAAAAAAGCTGAAGCAGGACAGTTCTATTTGTGGTGGTTTTTTATACTCTGCAGAGGGTATTACTAACTGGGTTAGAGGTGTAAGATTTAAAAAAAGAGATAAGCTTTCCAAAACCGCTTGGGTTGTACTACTTCATTGACATTTTTTATTTATATCATTTGGGTCTCTTCTTAATTCTTAAAATCTGTAAGGGTGTTCAAATTCCGTCTTCCTAAACATAGCTTCCCTTCTTGTTTTTTTTGTGTAATTTGGTAATGCTATTTTATCAGCTGAAATTCAAAGTGATGGATCTCTTATTTTAGATTAAAACTGGACTCTTGGTATTAAAAGAAGGCTAATAGAGGAATATATTTACGTACCTATTTATTATATATATACTTAAATAAATCTTATTACTACCTTAAAGGTCTTAAGGCCTTTCATATCCATTATAGCTATTAGCATTTTTTATCTTTAAAATGTATACAACCCTGAGATAAATGGGATTACCTTTGCTTACCAGTTGTTTATTTAGTTTTCTAAAAATAGGCAAGGTTGGCGTTACAGACTTGGAAGGGAATATATGAGTTGGCCATGATGTGCGTAAAATGAAGGTATGTACTACGTATGAAGGTAAAACCCTCGTCACGCACACATATTCGACTCTGAAACGGACTGAAAGTTGTCCCCTTGCATGCCATTACCTATGCAAAACATGTGCGCATTAATGAGGAATGTGAAATAGGCCCCGCATCTCTTTTCAGCACGTACACATCCAGCGTTTTCTTGGAGCAATTAGGTCCTGTGCCGAAAGACCCGAATATGCTTTCTTTTTCGGCACTAATTAGGCATATGTAAACGAGTCCTGCTGGGCAGCACTTAGTCCTGGCTAATAAAGGTGGCCCATAAAGGTGGCTCAAAAGCTAGGTCACGAGCAACTTGGGTTTCATTAGAAAATATAGCAAAATATCAAATGAATTTGTAGATCCTTTTAAAGCAGATTTAATGTTATATAAACACAAGGGAGCTTTAAATGCTCACCCTTTAAGATGGTTGATTTCAAAGAGCACTATTTGATGCGCACTAGTCTCAAAGTTTTCCTAACTATTACTTATACGATACATAGTCTCTTATAATATTACAAATTGTTTTTACTTATAATTCTTTTTTTCTTTAAACTAAGGTTTCGCTTACACATGTAGGTGATTAGAATGAATTTTAGACAGAGGGCAACATTACGTATGAGTGATAAACTGCCCAAAGGAACATACTTATTTGGAAAATATTTAAATACTTATTTTTTTGAATTTGAAATAGATGATATTAGGATCCTGCTTTCTTTTTAAAATGCTATTGACATTCATTGAGTGACCTGAATTTTATTTTATTGAAGCTTACAACCATTCTGACACCACAGAATACATCTTTCAAATACGTGCTTAACACCATACTGACTACCAGTTAACCCAAAAGGGACGTCAAATGGATAATATAGAACAAGTGACACAGCACATGAAGGACACTGAATTTACGTTCACAGAAATCAGGATCCCGTGGATCCCTCGTCAAGTTATAAACAAAGATGCATCACTTGCAGGCCATTTGGTAAAGGAACTGGATGATCGATCGGGTTGGACGTCCTGTCATGCAGTCCTTGAGCAAATACGGAGGCACTCCGTGCTGGGCCAGCATTCCGGTGCCGTGGGTGTCCAGGTGGACCCAGTCGGAGCAGGGAACCAGCTCAAAGAGGATGGCAGCAGCGAGACAGGATGAGGCGTGTCCTCTTCCCGTGGAGCAGATGTCGTAAGATGACAGAGGGGCAACTAGATTGCGGAAGTACTTCCACAGGGGCATGCGCCACAGCCGATCTCCCGTGAGAGCTCCTGCCTTCTGGAAGTTCTTCCAGAGGAAGGAGTTATTGGTCCACAAGCCGGTGGCCGAGGCACCCAGTCCTTTGCGTATACCACTGGCCATCGAACCCACTTCCACCACCAACTTGGGTTTGAATGTTGACTGAGCGTAGAGCAGGGGATCGGCCAGCAAGACTGTTCCGGCCAGGGAAACGTCCTTGATCCTCATGGTCTTGCCGTTGAGCAGGGTGACCACATCTCCTGGTTTGGTGGCCATTCCCGAGGGCATATTCTCACACAGGGGCAGTACAGCGGATACATTTATGGGCAGGGATAGAGCAGCTGCAGCCCGAATGGCGGCCACACAGACTGCTGCCCCGGAAACTGCTCCCCGGTATTCGTCCATTCCCTTCTTCGGATGCAGACACAATCCACCACTGTTGAAGGTCAGTCCCTTGCCGAGCATCAGGATGGGCCGCTCCTCCGGCGAAGTGCCACAATAGCTGACCTCCAGGATGATGGGAGGTTCGCACGAGCCCTTCGCCACCATGAGAAAGGAGTTGAGGTTCTGGCTCTCGATCCAATCCATGGATCGCACCTCAACTGAAACTCCACAGGGACACAGGGCATCCACGGTGGCCTGGGCGAAAATGGAGGGGGTCATTTGGTTGGCGGGCGTGTCTGCCAGACGACGGGCCAGGTTCTGGGATTCGGCCTTGAAAAGACCCCTTGTCCAGGCATCCTGATCCGTGGATCCATAGAGCTCAAGTTTGGGAATGGCCAGACGGTTCTTCTTGCGCTTATTCACATTGTAACGCCACACGGCCATGGCAGCTCCTTCTGCAGCCTGCTCAGGGTATTCCATTCCATCCACATGGCAAGTGGTGCATCCCTGCATCTGGAGGGCCCTGGCCCCGACGGCAGAACAAACCCTTACATTCTCCATGCCCTCGTCGATGACCTCTTCGGCATTGTAGCCAGCACCTTCTTTGCCCAGACCAACAACCGCCACGGCCCAGTATTCCTTGTCTATATTCTGGTAGAGTCGACCCACTCCGAGTTCCCCATTGAGTCCAGATTCCTTGATTAGTTCAGTGATCTTGCCGCTCACACGGTCGTCGAACTTCTCGCCACCCGGGGTGAGCTTTAAACCCTTGTCACCATCCTTGGCATAGAGGCCAACCACGACTCCTTGAAGGTTGCAGGTATTGCAGCCACCATCCTCGCTTTTGCACCTCACCTGGGGGTTGGGAAATAATATTTATTTAGTATTTTTTTTTAAATCTTGTCACCAATTAGAAAAGAAACTAACTTCTTTGAATTTACTACTAAAAATTGTGGGGTCGACTTAATATTCGGAACAAATTTCTCTCGAATCTCAATAAGAGCGAGACAGCAATACCTGAAACTCTCCGAAAGAGAAAAAAGAGAGCAAAAAGCAAGACGGCGATTGATAGTCAATAGTCAATCAAATAAATTGTTTAAGAATTTCATTGATATACAATATCAAGAACGTTGACAAAGTAAACATATCTCACCTGCTGCAAGCCTGGTCCTCTGGCAAAAACGAGTGCCCTTTGGCACCTGAATAACCCGGAAGTGGAACGGCGTAAGCAAGAGATAACATGCGATCGAGTCATTTTGTGCAGCAATTTGGATCAACTTCGCTAGGAATTTTCACCGACTACAGAGAGTTTCTGAGCACTTTATAACAATTTAGTAACGCGACCGAGTGGGTGAAACAGTTAACCAGATCAACTGCTAAATACTGGACTGAAAAATATAATACAAAAATCGTGTTTTTATTAAAAAAACAAAGTTAGTGTTAGCTCCGTTGAGCTGGAATCGAGAAACTGAACTGACCTAAAACAATTGACCAGATGACATGTTGTACATTTTGATAGACAGTTTACTAGGATCAAAAATATTTTATTGTATAAAGCAATGCAAACAACACTTAACAAATCGTGATTTATAAGACTTTCAGAGCTGCCATCAAAGGAATTTATTTACCCACAATTCCCACGAACAACCTGGCCGCACTTGAAACTTTATGTGATGATTAAATTTGCAATTATCTGCAACAACAAGTGCATTTCTGCAGGCGACATAATGAAAAAGCGAATTGCAGAAGGGTGTAAATGCGTATATAAAAAAAAATTGCAACCAAGCCGCAGACGAAACACGTAAAAGCAATAAAGCAATAAATTGCCCAATTTGAAGCACTATTGTAGCCAATAATTTGCACAGCCACTTGGCCGGTTTTCTGCTGCAGAAACCCTTCTGCCAACTGGCCCAAAATACCACCACTGCCACCCACCTCTCGAAAACCCTGCCCCCCACCACCCACCGCATATAATTTTCAACAAAAATATTCACATTTGTCAATGTCGCGTGATTGATGTGGTCGAACGCATTTCCGCCGAGCCGAGTGGGCCAGCCAACGTGCTGATGGGCCAAATAAAAAACAGTCATCGCACAGCCACAGAGGCGCAAATACACGGCAAAAAATTTGGATCCTTAAACTGATTATTAACCACAGATACCCTAAAAATATTCCTTCTTACTCCTATAAAAATGGGAAACAAAAATAGGAGAAGATAAAATGTTCTTACCTTGAAAAAATGTCTTCTCACATTTTCGAGATTAAACGTTCTTCAAATCAAGACGAAAGTACTCTTGAAATTGTTTTTTTTTGATAAAACGACCTTGAAAAAGAGATAAAAGCAGTCTTTTGTAGAGAAGAGAAAAAACTTTCGATATTAAAAATTAGAAAAACGGTTTTCAAAAATATAAAAACTATTTTTTTTAAATGGTGAATAACATACAAAGAGCCATATGATTAACCAGGTTAATACCAAGTTAAAATATCAATATTTAAATATTTTATTTCTGTCACAAAAGGGTTGGGAATTATAATGAAGATAGGTGTGTTCATGAATATTTGAAAATATATTTTATTATATGTATATATTTGTTAAATATAGTTCAAAAACTTTAGAAACTTACAAGACCAAATTTATTCTTCAGATGTATGTAGATATAGGATAATCAAATATTCATTTGTAAACATTTGGTTACTCTTTTTTCGCTCAGTGCTCGTACAGACACATACACACATGATTACACTGGCAAGTAGGCGGCGCATAAAAACAAGCAAAAACATTCATTTTTTGTATACAAATGAGTGTGCAAGGCGGATGTTGAGGCCAGGGACATGGCCATTGCCATGGTTATATGTAGCTATGGCGGTGAATCTGGACCTGGATCTGAATCTGGGCTGTGGGTCTTGCCATTGGAATGGGCGTGTTGGCGACATTACGCGATTTCACGCATGATTTCAAATTAATGACAGCCGAGGGAGCCGAGTACACCTTTAAGTCAGCATTGGGGGAGCGAAATTTAAAATGTCCACCCGCACAGGATGTTTAATTTCCTAAATGCATAAATCTCACTAATACGCCAAATCTAAATCTAGTGTGGTTAACGCTTTTTTGGTGCTGCTGCTTTTTCGAGGGTGGTGCGTGCAGCATCCGAAAATCATAAACAAACTTCAAAGAGGACAATGGCCAAAAAGGCAGGGGGCCGTAAAGCGTTTTGCAGCTTATTACGCACGGTAACCAGTAAACTGGGTAAACTGGCATCCTGGCAACACCGCAACAATTCAGTTTGGCTGGATCTGATGGGTCCGTGGGTGGTTGGTGTTGGGAAAGAGGCCTCTAGTCGACTTCTGGGCCCCCAAAAACACACGTAACGCGTTCGTTTCCATTGCCATTTCCGTTTTTTGTCCTCAAAAACACCAAATGCCCCACATAACACACCTAACTTGGCTGGCTCTTTGGGTGACAAAAACGGCTGGGCCACGGAAGATCCTTTCACAATCGAACCCTAACCTTCTACCCGGTTATTTGTTTGCCTTTGCCACAGAAAATTGCCAATTGTTGCAGCATTGATGCAAATTTATTGCCTGCCGTCTGCCTTTTGTGCGGCTTTTGAGATTAAAAGAGATCCCAAAACTGATTTGGTGCTTTAACATTAATTCGGAGCTTGAATTGATTTTCGGTTTGTTATTGCGTTACCACAGAGCAAACCATATAATCATCTAAAACATTTTAATAACATGAATGGAACCCACATTAACAATGCTATATATGTAGTATATCTTGTGGCCTTGTTGTTTTTAATAAAAAACCCGATTGGGGAATATTTAAAAAAATATGGATAGATGCCATTGCCTACCTTGTGATGCTGATCAATGATATTTATCGGGTCGGAAATAACCCACACTAAAATTCCCTCTGCAATAGATTAGAAATGACAACAAATTATAAAAAATGTTTAAGAACTTGGCTACTTAAATTGACTTTTCGTAGTAGCCTTTTGGTTTGAGTAGTACGCGTCAAAAGAAATACTTTGATTAATAAAATGTTTAACCCATATAAATATGTATTGTAAAAATCTTTAATGGTTTTTCTGTACTCTAGGCGACATGTATCTCTCGTCATAAGAAATGGTCCGCGCAATCCACTGGGTAAAGCTTAGTACGTTGGTGAAGACGGTTATCCCTCGGCAATCTTTAGCTCCACTACTAACAATCCCAACTTGAGCATAGACCTTCCTTTCATTATAAGTAACCGTCAAACCGAGCGGGCCACCGGAATCACCAGTGCAGGCATACTGCTCGTAACTTCCGGCACAGATATGGGTGTGATCGACGGCATATCCGTATTTGTCGTGACAGATTCCCCGATCGGTTTGGGTGAGATTCACTGTTTGAAGCTTGGGACTAACCGAATGCGATTTTGTGGCACCCCAGCCGGTCAGAGTGAACTCCCTCACCGAATCCACATACCAATACCATTCGTCCGCATTCTCATGCATTATCAAACATATGGGTCGAATGGTCTCTGTGAAAAGAAAGATTATTGAAACGAAGTATTTGCGTAAACAAGCTGATTACCTGTAAGTAGCACTGACTGGTCCAGTTTTAGAAGAGCAATATCATGGTCAGCAATAGACCTGTACCGCGGGTGGGTATAGATTTTTATAACCATGTATTCGCTATAGGGTGTGGCACATACACGACCGTAGCAGTCTTGCTCTGAGGTCCAATCATACTCGCCTAATCGAACTATTCTATGTTCATAAAACAACAATAAGAACTTTGTTTTGATTAAAAGCTCAACAGAGTACTAACAATCGCTTGGGAGTGGGAATAACACAATGTGCAGCGGTTAGAACAAAGGCTAAAAAGAAAAAGTAAACACAAATTATATATAAATACATGTAATACTAATTATAAAGTAGGTATTTTCATACTCAGTAACAAGATGATTGTTTTTATAAAACCACAAAAACATACAAACCCCTCGTAATTAAAGAGCCACCGCAAACAAAATCCATTCGATCATGTAAAAACACCATCCATGGAGCTGAATTCAATTCAGCAGTCGTGCCACCAGATATTCGACTTCGAAATCGCCGCGCCACACAATTTGGGTCCAGTAGTTTGGCCGATCCATGCAAAACTTGGTTTCCAATAGTTAAACAAAGGAGCACAATAAGAATGTTCTTCATCATAGAGCTTTTTAAATGAAACTGAACCCGCTTATCGGTTTTAAAAGAAAATATGTGCATACTTATCAACGTCTCTTGACCCCTTTATCAGTAAGTTGAGAAAAACAATCAAAATTCTTTAAAGAATTACCTACTTATTCATTAATAAATTTATTTAGTTGTTTGTGTGCACTAAGAAATACAAATATATAAGGAATTCATATATGAAGAAGCTTTTATTAATTATATAATTTTTTTAACCCACTCGTTCTCCTTAAAAGCTGGTATTGACAACTATAGTTTGGTAGATCCAGTTTGAGTAACTCAGAATATTCGTAAATACTGAAACGCCTTGGAAAGGTTTTCGAAGATGGCTTACGATGCCGAACTGATAGAAACGTCTATCATAACCATAGTTCACCATGCTACCCAGTGGACCTCCAGAATCGCCTTTTCCCACATAATGTTTACTGTCGCCGGCACAAATGTGAGTACGATCGACGACATATCCATACCATGAGCGACAGGTCAAACGGTCAATCTGGGGAATTTTGGTAATCTGTAGTTTTTCGCTCACATCTGTGTAATTTGTGGCACCCCAACCAGATATAATAAAGTATCGAATGCTGTCCAGATATCCTTGCCATTTCGAATTCAACATCACGCAAATCGGCCTAATGCTTTCTGAATTAAGAACTCTTATTTAATGTTAGTGAGACAGACGGGATACTGGATTACCTGAATATATAACGATCCGGTTAAGTTTGACCAGAGCTATATCATAATAGTGGGCTGTTTTATAGTACGGGTGGACGAACTTTTGCATTACCCAATATTCTGAAGGTGCCGGCGCACAGTCGAAGTTATCGCAATCAATTCGTTGACTTGAATCGTTCTCTCCCAATCGAACAAATCTATAACAATAAAAGATTAGGATGTTATGGCATTTAAGAATATCACTTACATTTTGGTATTATGGTCTTTAAAGCAGTGTGCAGCTGTCAGAACAAACCCTAGAAAATGAGTTAAGAACTAAAATGATTAGTTTTCCTGAGATTTTTGATAACATTGTCTTATTCAATTTTTGTTATGATCTGTAAGGGTGGAACTATAAATATTACTCTTAAATAATTCTTATATTTATAGTACGAACAATGGTTGACAAGCGATCCGCCGCAAATAAATCTGGGGTTCGTATGCAAGTAAGCCATCCATGGGGCAGACATCAAATCAGCATCTTGGCCTCCAGTAATTCGGTAGGAATATTTCGATGAGCCGCAATTATTTTCCAGAAGGTAAGCAAATCCCGTGTAATTTCGATTTATAAGAATCAAGAAAACTAGTAAAACAACGAATACAGTTTGCTGCATCTTGAAGCTTTCGAATGCAACTGATTAATGAGTTGTAAATTTAATTACGAAGCATTAACGAAGTTCTTATCTGTGAGTCAACAGTTTCCGCAGAATCAGATTGATATTTTATGCTTTTAAAGGAGGAAATGGTGATGCATTCTTACCATTTATTATTGCTTATTATTTCTGTAAGCTTTTAATCTCAGAATGTAAATCATTCGTTTTAATATAATTTAAATGAGTTTAATTTATGGAGTTTACTTATATAAGATGTTCTTCTTACTACATCCATCTGACAAATATTTAAACCTTTATTTATAGTTATACTTAAATAAATGTAGTTTACTTTCATACAATATTTGGTACGTACAACATGATTAATGCCACTTAATTAGGTTTTCCATTTAGCTTTCTGGAAATGCCAAATTCAATTTAAGAAATAATTCATAATCTTTATTAGCTTTGGCTTCAATACAATGTGTGCACAGACAAATGCTCCGTGGTTGGCTTTAATGAAGTGTAGATTTCTTCGATTCAAAGTGGTGGGTGTACACATAGGCATGGAATTCTCAGAAGGCTCGTAAATTTGCCGAATGCATAAATCACGCAATTGAATTCTAATTTTTCGGCTTCTGCAGACAACAGAACAATGTATCTCTGGTTGTCTGGGACTGGGAAAGGAAATGCATTTCGAGCCAGAATCAATCATTATTTTTAATGCACAAATGGGAGCAATTACAGTCAGTTTGGGCCAGACAAAAGAATGTCTCACTTGATTTATCGAGGTTTGGCCAATGTTTGTTGACCATGCATCTTGTTTATCATGTGCGAAGTCGCTGCTTTGAATACTGAGTACAGATAGTAGCCAGTGTATTTATCCCCAGTGCTGGTGAAAGTAAGAGTTTACAGTGGAATACAATTAATGTTATAATGATGTACACTTTGGGATAATATGAAATCCAAGTGGGCCTAAGAGTTTTTGAATTTTATTTTATCCATTAGTTAACAATCAAGTGGACCCTTCTCACTTAAAAAATAAAAGATTATTTTAAGTTTAAATAATATAAAAGATTTTTACTTTAACTTTTAGATAAACAAACCTGTTATTATTTTAAAAATACTTTTTCCACTGTGTAATAGTTTCTACGGTCTAAATAATCGATGAGTCGGGTGACAGTCTTCAATTAACACCTGGCACACCCCCTCTGTAAAAGACAAAGACAAATATTGTACCCACAGCAGTATATAAGCAATATCTACTCTTAAAAGTCTAATAGTCGCATAATGGCTTTCTCCACCTCCGTGTCGGTTATATTTGTGATCTCGGCGATCAGCTGTTGGGTCTTAGTTTCTGGAGATTTGCGAGCAGACCTAAAGGATTTCGTAGCACTGGTTCCCCGACGAAGAATTGGATTTATTGCCGCCAGATACTATATCTTTGATCCCAAGTTCCGTCAGGCAGTTGAGTTTGTGCGCAGCGATGAGTTTACGACGACCTGGCAGCAAGTTCGTGCCGCTCCCGATTTTGTGGATATCATTAACTATGTGACCGAATACGGTTCGGGTTATGATATCACTACTCTTGTGGATAGTTTACCTACTCGGTTGCGAGCTTATCAACTGTCGCGCACTGTACCTGTGGAACTTATGCTGCGGCGTGATTTGACTACCTTCCTTCGGGATGTTATTCAAAGTCTGCCAAGGACCAGAATCTATTCGTTAATGTCACAGAAAGTGCGACAGAGTAGTGAGTTCGCCAAACTCTACAAGGCTCTGAGGAATAAGGAGTTTAAGGAGCTAGTGCAGCGTGCAAGGGTAAGATCTAAAAATATCTTTCCTTTATAATATCAATAACTCTCTTCTTTTCAGCGTTCCGGACAACTGCAAGCCCCAATAAGGAAATTGATTCAAAAAAGTATCAACGTCGATGAACTTCTCCAAATCCTCTTTGAGGTAATCAGTTGGGGTCCTCAGATCTCTTAGACTCTTTAGTTTTAGTTCCAATATTATATGCTTTATAAAATAATTTATTTATGATATTACAATACCATATCAGCAATACAGATAATATCTAATTTCAATATGAAAATAGATTGCCATCCTATAATAAGGGCTTTTACACAAAATTCAGAATGTTCAATACTGTCGAGATGTGCAATCGTAAACCGAACCTACAAGAAAAAAGAGGTCATTTCTTATCAGTTCTGAGTAATAAATATTTTTAGTTTAATATAATTTTAGCATTTTTTTGCATCTAGAATGGCAGTTTTTTTTATTTACTTATTAATACATTGAGTTTTTGTTGGAGCAGATAATATAGATTATTTTTATAAATCTCTTATCACTTAAAATTGTTCAATACTTACCTTATACTAAGTCAAATGAAATGAAAAATGTAAACATGAAAATATGTTCTCATTAAAGTAGTAAAGGAAATATATTTGATGGCAATGCAATGAATCTTAGCATAAGTAAGTAAAAAAATTTTGGAAAAAAGGTATTATATATTTAGATAGATATTAGATATTTATCGCTTTGTATGTAGGGACATCCCATGCCTTTTATTAACGTAACTGATATCCTACATTCTAGGTATGGTTTTCTTTTAAACAGTGAGTTTGCATTAAGTACACGAATCATAGAGCTCTTCTGCCATTTTGACCTCCAATTACTTTTGGCCGATATTGTACAACTGTACGTACACTTGTAGTCTATCAATTGTGTAGTTTCTAATATTATTTTTATTCCGAGGAAATAGCTTCGGTAAAGCCATCTTACTTGCAACTACAGAAATGAACTGATGGCAACAATAAGCAAATCCTGTTTCAAGGCTCTTAAATATTTCCATAAAACTTGCCATTTATTCATTTTCTTCCGAAAAAATAAATTAAATAACGGTTCAGTATTTTCGTGAAAAGGGTTTTCAAAAGAAATCAAGCTTATGAATTCTTAGCAAAAAACATTTTAGCAAACGGTTATGTACTCACAAATAATATTTTAATATACCTTTATTAAAAAGAAGGTAGAAACTTCTGAGCTTATTTATTTACTGCTATTTATTACAATTTCTTTATAGGTATTAGAAATATTAAAAATAAATCAATACCTAAAATCAAAATCGGGTGCAAGTCTGCCGTTGCACATCCATCCCTAAGAAATGACTTGTGGGGCTTGGTTGACATCTTTTAACCTCTGATGTGTGCAGTCAGTAGTCGGTACAATGTGGAAAATCAGCAAAAAGGAAAATCCTCATCGTCACACACGCACAATATGCCATCATTAGTGCAACTGGAAAGCAGGTCGTTTTCCGATGACAAAAATCCCCAGGAATGCTTCATTGATTCGGCTTTTGGGCCCAGTTGTGGAGCATCCATAGGGCGCCTAAAAGTCACACTGACAAGTCGGTGCTAAATTTCAGCTGAATGAAGGATTTTATACTGTCGTGCATAATTTGTCGACATCGACATAGTTTTTATGGCTGGCAGTTGCAAGTTTATTTGCCACAAAATGCGGCCATATAAGCGTTGCCAAGTTTATTTCGAATCAACCAAATTGCGCTGGCTTTTGCTGTTGCTGTTGTTGCTGCTGCTGCTGTTAATGTTGCAACCATTGCTGCTGAATATGCAACAAAAGTTGTTGCACTCGCAACGCCCACAACACACATGGCTAGCTGGAAAGCCAAGTCAAGCCGATCCGGCACGGCCCACATCATTTTGCAGCAGTTTTTGGCTGACAGAGATGCAGAGGCGGCGAACGGGAACTTTCGGCCCCCTGCGGCTCCCTTTTGCCCATGCCCCTGCCCCTGCCGCCCCTGCTGCTTTGCTGTTCCCCCATTTTGCTTGACATTAATTTTATGCCATGTTGCTGGCGTGCCAGCGGTCCAAAACGCGCTTAAATTGTCGCATTTGTCTTGCCGTTTTAAGTTGGCTGTTGCTGCTGTGTTGCTGCTGCAGTTGCTGTTGCTGTTGCTCATGCAGCTCCTGCTGCATTGCATAAACTTTTGTGTAATCCTTTCAATTTGTTGCATACTTTTAGGCGGGAATTAAAATAACAAGCGCTACGTGGTGGCTGCTACACTCGCAGAAAAGGAAAGCAGGCGCGGGCACCTGATTAGAATCTTGAAATTATTTCCTAAATTTATTATTACTATCCATTATCAATTATTAAAAAAAAATATATATATATATTATGTATTATAACTAATACTTCCAAGTCTAAAAACTTCGTTAACTAAAATTGTATCCAACTCGACAAAACTTTTTGGTAATAGTATTTAGGCACATACAATATTTTATTCGTAAGTCAAACTTCCATAGCTTAAATTTCTCTTAAAATGTTCAGGGAATTGAAGGAATATATTCTGGAGATTATAAATGGTATATTGGTGTCGTATTTAAGTGTCGTCTTAAAGGCTGTTGTTTTAAGGAAACTGACGAACATATCAACACACAAACATTTTTAAAAGAGACCAAATTATTTCTCCATCTCGAAATCTCTGTAAATAGAATTGTTAATAAAGTTTGATCTATTCAAGTTTTACTTTAAATGAAGTTGGAAATTTTATAAGCAATTATAAAACTTATATTAAGCGAAATTCCTAAAATTCGGAATATCGAATATGAATGGTTATACCTTGATATATTTTATAAGGTTTGAAAGACTAATATCTTAGAAACCTTACCTACACCGATATCCCTCTCAAAAAATCCAAACTTTAAATTGTCCTCATAACTTTTGGCTGAGTGTATTGACTTGCTTAGTTACTGGCCTGGCGTTTGTTGGGAAACTTGGTCTACACGTGTTATACCGTACACTCTAGTTCATCAATTAGTAACCTAGACAATGTTGCTCCATATCTGCTTCTGGTGCCTTGACTTTACGAGTCCCTCGGATTTCCTACCCCCCGTGCTTTTCCTTGGGAAATGCATTCATACAGCTGGAATTTATGCTACGAATTTTCGGTAATGAATTTTGCAAAATAGTTAAATTGAATTTTATGCTACGAGGGCCTTGTTATGCCAACTCCCTGTTGTTGTCATTCGGCATCAAGTAAAAGTAAATAATTGCTGCTTAAAATGCTCGTCAGGAGTTGGCCATGCACTCGTACTGCTGGCTAACTGCTGCTGCTACCTCATTCGTATTTTATTTTCATGCTTGGCCAACAGCCCTTTGGCCCTTTTTTCTGGGTGGCCAGAATTTTGAGTGGCAGCAGCAGCAGGAGCGGTCGATTTGTTTTTTGCTCCTTGGGCGGCAGACTCGTTACCGCCTTAACTGCAATATCAGTTACAGGAGTCACTGCTGCCGTTCTCCATTTCAAAGCAACGTTTTTGGAGCCCCGAAGTACCCGCAGTCCCACGAAATCCCTCGAATCCATTTCCATCCTGTTCACTGGCTGCCGGTTATATTTCGACCAGATTGTCTGTATTTGCGGTTTGTGCGTACGTGACATGGATGTTCGTTCGTTCATTCGTTCGACTGGCATGCCCGCTTGCTTAACAATTAGTTTTAAAATGCTCCAGGACACATCCAGTTCTTGTAGCTCCAGCTCATCCTCGTACTCATTAGAGCTGGGGGGAGTTCGAGTTTTACCCTGCAAAAACCCACTGCGTAATCCATTGCCCAAATAAAGCTTCCACTTCCACTTCCACGGCCACCGTTAAAAATGGGAGGGAAAAAACATCTAGGAAAAGCGAGAAAAAACGGGGAATAAAAATCAACAACAACAATCAATGTTGTCCCGTAATCAATTAACGATTTAACGTTCGTCTAGGGCTGGTCAACTGGTCACTCTGTGCGCCGTCAGCATTTGGCGCCGCATCTCCCAGCCTGCCCCGCCCCCTTTCCACCCACAGCCACCCCTTTGGATAGGTTTTGTTTGTGTATGCGTTTGGGGTCGAAGGTCGGGGGTCATGTTGACAGGGGCTGCATGGACACGTCATCGGGGCTGCGTTTTGGGGAAAGCGCGATTGTCTTTGTGTGTGCAAGTACACTGAAACAATTCTATTCTAAGTCATAAAAACAATTTGAGATTAAAACCTCCATTCAAAAATATACAACTCTTCATAAGCTTAAGAAGGACACTAACCAATTCTTAATATTGTCCCTCAAAAAGTATGTTTTAAAATATTTTCCTATTCAAGCTTATAATTCCCAAGTGCTAATTTCTAAGATAAAAACAATAAACTATTTAAATTCATAAAAATAAGTGTTAAATTTAGGTACATCCTAAGATCCCCATTAAAAAATACACTAAGTCTTATAAAGGGCAAGGACATTGTATTCGTGTCCGCCGAAAAGTATGCCTTAAAATTTTCTCTTGTTCAAATTTATATTTCCCAAGTGCTTACTTCTATGAAATGATTAATGTTAATTTTACGTGCATCTTAAAGTCCCCATTAACTACAGCTTTTAAGGACAAGAAGGACATTATATTTGCAACATTCTCTTATAATTCCCAAGTGCTTTTTTCAAAGACAATAAAAAAAGTAGTTAGAACTTTAGTAGGGATTACTGCACTAGGACTGATGTATTGAAGGTTTGTGTTGGTAATTAAAAATTTAAAAACTATTTTCTCAGTGTGTAAAGTGCGGAGACTGACAGGGCTGTCATCTCGCTGGAAGCTCCTCTTAACTCCTCCATTTTCGGAATGGGGCGCAGTGGGCGCAACTGCAAGCGAAATTCGATAATCTGCAAATGGCAATCTCATTCTTGATTGCCTGCGTACCACTTCCATTTGAAACAATTATTCCGGGGCGTTGGCAACCCTGCCGCCCTGCAACCCAGCGCCGCCTGCAAAAGTATTTGTTGGGGGCTAATGTGATTACTCCTGTCATTATTTCGTCGCTACATCCGTCTCTTCAATGGATCCGCACACCACCGTAAAGCCCCAGCCCGCTGCCATTAAATTGACCACCGACTGGTTGTCTCCCCTGCCCCTATATCTATATATCCATATATATGTATACCAACGTTTACATTTGTGTGTGCGTGTCTGTGTGCATTTAACTGCACGTTTTCAAACTTTGACCCGCACTCCATTCCGAAACTCTGTCCATGGGTCCTTCCATCCGTGTTCTGGGGACTGCGGGGCATGGGGTTTGATTGGTTATTGACTTTTAACAGAAAAATTGATGTAATGCAATTAGTTTTACAGCTAAACCGTTTGATGATTGTGCAACAAAAACAAAAACAAGAGCGCTGTGCTAAACGAGCACTTTACAGCCA